AAAACTTGGAACGGGGCGTGTAGACAACAAACGTAAAAGCCAACGATGTTGCGAGTGGGGGTCATAGGTAGGAAGCGAAACATCATCACTCTTATAGAATACAGCACCCGTACTTTACATATTAATGTAGTTTGATAAGTTTAGTGTACAGTCATGGACCCGTCTAAGAAGTCCGCTAGTCAGTCCCGAAGCATGCTAATCGAGGATCCTCAAAACAGCTGTAAGAAAAATGGAATATTCTTGTCGACTAAAGCCGTTGTCGCCATAGTAGTTGTGGTAATACTGGCCATTGCGGCAACGGCAGTCATCACTTATTTCGCAGTCTATGAAGACACTGTGGCCGAGTCGCCCGAACCTGTTTCAACAGAACTGCCGCCAGAAGGTTGGCCTCAGCCCGTGGAAGAAGATGATGCTCGCGAAGAGTTTGACGGACGCATACCGGACACTTTGAAACCGATCAATTATTATATCAAAGTCACACCGTATTTTGACGAGGAAGACGTCGAGGACCTGGGAAAGGAACGATTTACCTTTGACGGCGAATTGCAATTCGAGGTAGAATGTTTAAAACCCACGGCCATCATAAAACTGCATATTTACACAATAACTGTAGAGGACGTTACGTTGTTGGTAACTGACAGTAGTGGTACACATATTGGTGTACTGGGTACGGTCCTGGACCCACTGTATGATTTCTACATCATCGAGTTAGACCAAGATCTTGAGGTTGGACGGCGCTATATTATCAGTATGAACTATGCTGGAACACTGAAACAGACATCAACTATCGGTTTTTATCTAGGCTGGTATCCCTTTGGCAACGAAACCAGGTACGACGACCACGTTAAATCATTAAACACATTAAATATGAAATATGTATTCTTTCAATATATTCATAAAAAATATTAATCACATTTCAGCGCAACGGTTGTCTAATTCGACCACTTCTTTAATTTTGGTCTTATTTAATCACAATTAATCTGTCTTTTGTTTGTTATTGCATTTTTAATGCAGTAAATGATTTTGTTGAGTTCAGGCGACCTTTTTAATAACCATCCGTATATTTGTTTTCGTCGTTTATGACCCGACCTGACCCAAATCAGCCCATGAAAATAATGCAATTATTTTACAATTTCTTGACAAATTACCTAAAACATACTAAGTTTATTTCACATCAAGTACATATAAATACATATCTGCTAAGTATCTTTTTCATTTGATTTTTTATTCTGTTATTTCAATGGGTTTTCTGGCCGATCCACCTTGTATCGAGTGGATCACGAAAAACAAATACGATCTTCCTAACATTGAATACTACTGTTGCTATGCACACTCTGTAGTTTGGCGATCGCGTTGTACATGTATATATTTGGCACTTGTAAATGTTAGTTTTATTACCCACAAACAAACAGTGGCTAATCTCTGTCAGAGATTATTATTCTGACGATCTGAACGATTTGTCCTACATAAATACCATTTTTTTTTCTTAAACTCATCAGCGTGGCGGGTGCGTATTGGCGGAAAGCCAAAGCTCAAATTGTGCCCAGCCGGTCTGATGTCACATGAGTATGCAATGCGATTTATATAGGACGACGTTATCTTACTGTGTACAAGGGCAGTCCTACTTATTAACATAAATCAGTTCTATTATCTCCATTGTTGACGATTGACACACGGGCACACTGGGCATGATTAGGATTTGTTGCTATACCGATTAATCTGATAAAAACAAACGGTTTAAATGCAGATAATCAAAATCATTGTTTGCTCAAATACTGATATATTTGTTCAAGATGCTTATGTTAGATTTTCAATGCTACGATATGTATCTTGCCAGACAAAAAGAGAAAGAGTTATCGGTCGATAATCGAACTTCTTTATGGCTTGCTTACTGGGTTACGTGTGCGTATTTGAATTTTCATCAATCAAAACAAAACGCCTCATTCTAAATAGGCGATTTTCTGTACAATTGCGAGATCTCGCGAGATGCATGAAAGACGCGCGCCGAGCGTCTGCCTTAAAAATCAGTAAGCAAATAACACCGAATAAACGGCAAGGTAAAGACTATGTCTAATTTAGTAAATACGTACTGCGTGCGTGACTCGAACCGGCGCTCGCGTACGGCACCAAATCGCCTAGCTTCACGCCACTACACGTCTTCCCCTCGGCCACCGGGCATCCCTTTAGAATTTCTTTATTTCGTAGCTTACATTGACCGGCCGATCTTCGACAGAGGAATATTGCTTCCGAATACCCTTACTTAATCAAAATTGCCTATCATCAAATGTGGACAGCACATTATTAAGCATGGAAATGTTCCCGAAATACTTTCGCGTTTGTCGAATCCCACCCGATGTTTGACGCCACTACGACGCTATGACCTTTGTTTGTCCTGTTTTTACGTTCGATTTCACGCATAACGCGTGATTCTCGCAGTGAACGGAAAATGGTCTATTACGTCGTGTGTTTGAGGTCACTCCGTAGTAAAATTATAATTACACCTATAGGTTACTAGTATATGATAACACCTTTATGGGCTGGATACGAATTTTGCTACCCTTGGTCGTACGGCTTCTTACACTCCATGGCAAGCCGTGTAAAGAATAATAAGAACGTAGAGTTGTTAATAAATAACTTGTAATTACACATCTATTTCTACTCAGCAATATCGCTATTTCCAGTTTGTAGAGCCAGATAAAAATCCGACTACTTTAAATTGACTTTACCCCCCCCCCTCATTTCAAATAATTAACAGCCTGAAACAATATCACGCAATTGTCAGTGTGATCATTCTAATATGTAACATTTCAGAACAGACTTAGATCACCCGGGTACCTCGACCTTACTGTGTATATTACGTGACTTATTTTCAGGTATTATGCAGCGACGCAGTTAGAAAGCACTTATGCAAGGCGGCTTTTCCCGTGTTTCGATGAGCCCAACCTGAAGGCCACGTTTGACATGGTGATACGGCATCGAAACAGACGCCATGCACTGAGCAACATGCCGAAAATAGGACAAGAATTTGACGATGAGATAGTGACAGACAGCACTTGGGTAACCACGTATTTTAATAGATCCGTTAGAATGCCCACCTATCTCAACGCTATAGTGGTGTCAGACTTCGAGCACAAAGAAAACTATACGGAGGAGGGAGTTTTGGTAAGCGATTGTCTCTCAGCAAAAATTTTAACGTATTGCAAACTGGTCTCGTTATGAATGAATAAATTTGGGTATTGTATGTCGAGTTCAACATTACGTAATAAACTCATTAGATTTATTTGTAGCACACAAAATAGTATGCATGTCATGAAATATAAGTAATGAAGTATGCACATTCACAGTGAATTATTAGTACGTACAAGAAATTCAAAACGCATGCGCATTTTCATAATTCGTTATTTCTTTAATTAAATACTTCTTTGTATCAAAATATCGTTTTTAAATGGCAACAAATCGTGACTCAGTGTTTCAGAACACAATACCGAACACCCCTGCTTTATTAAGCTGCGGAGCGTTGCGCGTTGTCACGTTGTTAATGTGGTTACTTTTCGATTCAGTTCCGTGTATGGAGTCGTCCTTATTTCGTCCACACTCTGGATTTTTCACTTATGGTAGGAACTTCTATGTTGGATTACTATGGGAAGACGTACAAAATTCCATACAATCACATTGGTTACATGACAAAAATGGGTGAGTAATTGCCGTAGAGGATGCACTGTGTATTAGGGCTCATACCACTAATTGAATTTCCATAGACGACAATGTTAAGGTAGCGAGAAGGGAAATTTTCACTTTTTTCTTGATTTTTCAAAAATTGATAAAACGGTTACTTTAGAC